TTTCAGCTTGAGAAATGCCGAGTGTGTTCTTCCCTTTTGGTTTTCTAACTCCAGGTCTTTGCACATTTTATTATAGTAATTGGCTTTGTCTGCTCGAGCTGCTCTTTGAAGTCTTCTGTTCAGCTCTTTTATCTTGTCCTTTCTTCCATTTGCTTTAGCTACTCTCCACTCAAGGACAAATTTCAGAGTCTCTTCTGTCATCCATTTTGGTCTTTTCTTTTTTTGTTGTCTTTTTAGTGACCTCTTGCTTTCTTCATGCATGATGTTTCTGATGTCATCCCACAATTCTGGTTTTTGGTCACTGGTGTTCAATGCATCAAATCTATTCTTTAAGTGGTCTCTAAATTCAGGAGGGATATGTTCAAGGTCATGTTTTGGCTCTCATGGAGTAGTTTTAATTGTCTTTAACTTCAAGTTGAATTTGCATATGAGCAGTTGATGGTCTGCTCTACAATCAGTTGCCCTGGCCTGGTTTTAGCTGAAGATATTGAGCTTTTCCAGTGTGTCTTGCCACAGATGTAGTCAATCTGATTCCTGTGTATTCCATCTGGTGAAGTCCACGTGCACAGCTGCTATTTGTGTTGTTGAAAAAAAAAGATATTTGTAATGAATAAGTCATTGGTCTTGCAAAATTCTACTATGTGATTTCCAGCATTATTTCTGTCACCAAGGCCAAAATTTCCAATGACTGGTGATTCTTCGTTTCCAACTTTTGCATTCCAGTCACCAGTGATAATTAACACATTCTGATTGCATGTCCAGTCAATTTCAGACTGCAGAAGTTGACAAAAATCTTCAATTTCATTAGCTTTGGCTTTGGTGGTTGGGGCATAAATTTGAGTAATAGTCCTATTAACTAGTCTTCCTTGTAGGCGTATGGATATTATCCTATCACTGACAGCATTGTACTTCAGGGCAGATCTTGAAACATCCTTTGTGATGATGAATGGCATGCCATTCCTCTTCAAACTGTCATTCTCGGCATAGAAGTTCATATGGTTGTCTGATCCAAAATGGCCAAAAGCAGTCTATTCCAGCTCACTAGTGCCTAGGATATCAATCTTTATGTGTTCCACTTCATTTTTGACAACTTCCAATTTTCCTAGATTCATACTTTGTACATTCCATGTTCCGAATATTAATGGCTGTTTGCAGCTGTTTCTCCTCAATTTGAGTCATGCCATGTTAGCAAATGGAGGTCTCGAAAGCTTTACCTTATCCGTATCAGTAAGGCTGGTTTTACTCTGATGATGCAGCTCTTTCCTGGTCGCATTTTGAGAGGCTTATGACCTAAATGACTCCTCCTCTCTGTATTGGACAATGTTTCTGGACTATTCATAAAGTTGTGCAGTAATGTATCAGTGTTTCTCTGCTATTCATAAGGTTTTCCCTGGCCAGTTCTTTGAGAAGTGGATGGCCTCTTCCTTCTTCCTAGTCTGTCTCAGTCTGCTAGCCGGGCTGATACCTGTGCACCCCGCTGGGTTTAAAACACCAGTGGCACAGCCTCAAGACTCACAGCAACACGTCACCATGGTAGGACAAATTGACAGACAAGTGTGTCTCCCTTAGCTGTTGGAAACCTCTCCAACCTCCCCTCACCTGGATCCCTGCTGCTGCCTCCTCACTCTGTCCAGGTCCCCCTGGCCTTTTTCTCTCCTTTCCCCTGCTTTCCTGCCTTGCCTCTTGTGGGGTGTGGCCTGGGTCCCCTCCCCTCACCTGGATCCCTGTGGCTGCCTCCTCGCTCTGTCCAGGTCCCCCTGGCCTTTTCCTCTCCTTCCCCCACTTTCTTGCCTTGCCTCTTGTGGGGCGTGGCCTGGGTTTCCTTGCCTTACCTGGATCCCACAGCAGATGACATGCACAGAGCAGATGCAAGCATGACCACAAAGTGAAGAATCAGGGGGCGCACCTAGAAGCGTCCTGTCTCCATCAAGTGCGTGAACCCAGTGACCTCCACTCTGCCTCTCGGCTTCGTTGGCGTTATCCTGGTCTCCCACTTTTGTCCCAAGCGCCTGAGAGTGTTACAAGTTGCACTTGCTCATCACTTCCTTGTTGTCAGCTGCCCAGGCCTGCGCCATCCCCGGCAGCTGCAGATACCACCTGATCTCAAGGGCTTTCATTAGACTGTCAGCCGGTCCTCCTTCTCCATCTTAGTCTGGAAGCCCTGCTGACACGTGCCGAGTATCACAGCCACAGATGCAGCCTCCACGGACACAAGAGTGGTGGCCACGCAGGAGGTGTACTGTCTGGGAACTGAACCCGGGGTCTCCTGCATGGAGGCCGAGAGCTCTGCCACTGAGCCAGCTGTGCCCCATATCACCTCCTTAGTGTAACAAGGCAGATAACCACACAGGTCCTAGAGTGAGATTAATAATTTTATTAATGATAGCCTATGGTCACACTGTGCGTATCTAAGATTTACATCCCAAAGAGCATGTACATACATACATGTGATGGGCAGGCCAAGGTCTCAAATGCAAAACCACAGCTCCGTCAGGACGATGATTTTTGCCAAATTAAATTAAATACATAATACTCTCACCTCCCACACCCGACATGTACAATAAAAACTCATTCGTAGTCTCCCTTCTTTTCAGAAATATAAAATTGCAACGATGGGGGCCCTGATCAACTATGGAGACACTGGAAACGCTTGAACCTGAGATAAGCCCACACGAGCGCTGACACGTCTTCACCTGGATTCATTGGGAACCCCATGGTAAGAGAGGCTGTTCGCAGTCCAGAGCACATGCCTTAGGCTGCTCTGGTGGCGACTGACTGACGCTGGCTGCTGCAGCATTCAACTGGAAGTCGCACTTGCCTGGAAAAGAGGCCCCCCACCTCCAATCCTCTGTGACTCTGCACCACAAGCGAGGGGGGCGGGTTACTGCAGTTGGTACATTTTTGTCTTTTTTATTTCTTCTTATTTTTAGGAGGAGGGAAACAAAATCTTTGGCCCGTTTAGTTGGGATTTTACACTATAAAATATACATAAATAAAATACGAATCGGCTCTTGAGCAAGTGCTCTGTGTATGGCGGGAGTCCAGCCTCGTGTTTGTGGTCCAGGAGTGCAGAACCCTGAAGGAGGCAAGCCACGTGTAAGAACAAGGGTGGTCAGGAAAATAAATACATGATGACAGGGACAGGCCAGCTCGTCACTGTGGCCCAGAGGCACCAGGAATTTCATTCCATGATCTGTTACTTCCCTATCAAATACGGAAGCCGATTCAGTGCATAACTGCATTTGGTCGATTCAATGCTCTCGGACAAGGGCACTCCCACCAAGCGGGCAGGCTGTGTGGAAGAGACCCAGCCCCGTGACCTGTCACACTACAGTCGGCCAGCAAGGTGACCTGGCAGATGGCTGGCATCATCTCAGACTGGGTGTCCCCTCTCACCAGGTGGGACTGAGGAACCCTGGCCTCCCTGAGGTCTTGCTTCTTCTCAGTGGTCAATCTTGGTCCCACCGCCCCATCTAGTGAGTAAGTAGAGGTTACCCGGAGGCACACATGGTGTTGCACTCTTTGCTGAGCTCCCCAGACACATACTCACATACCACCTGACCCTCCTGTCCACTCCCCAGCTCCGACACATTCCACTTGCTTCTTCCTTTGCTCAGCTGGGAAAGGAGGGCGTTCTGAGTAGGGAACCCAGCACAGCTGTCCTCCTAAGGGGCGTGGTCTTTGTATGGGAGGGGCGACCACAGGAAGAAGTGGAATTTAGGGCTGTCCATGCTCAGTTAAACTGAGAAGGGACTACTCATCTGCCCTTAAATCTCTCAGCCAATCCTGGGTTTAGGGCCTTTTGCATTTAAGGCACTGGGTTTTGAAGACATACATGCAAGTTCAATGAAACTACATACATGACCACTGCTTAAAACAACAGAGAGGAAAACATAGACTAAACCAACCAGACGACGACAGAGCTACCACGGTGAGGACCACCCGCTCAGTTAGTGCATTACGTTGAGTGTTAGCTGGGACTGTTAACAGCTCCAATCTGAACAACCCTCTCCTTTGAACAAAACAAACACTGGCCATGTCCTGATAAAGTGACATGCCCTCGAGTCCCGTGTCGGCCACCACCAAGGCGGCACCATTGCCATTTCCAGCAGGTGGGCACCCGAGTTGTCGTCGAGGGCAGCGACATTCCGATCCTTTCACAAACATAAGCGGATGCCAGGACTTTAGGGGGACTTTACCAAGTGGTCAGGGAGCGACCTGGAAGTAGTAGGAAGACATACTCAGAAGTAGAAGGGTTACACTTCCCACGGTGGACACGACTGTAGCAGAAAAACAAAAACACCAATCCCTTGCTGGAAGGAAAACGTCCGAGTTTTTCAGAGAGCGATCTCTCCCCCTGAACTGCCCTTAGGACCAATACCTATTTTCATTTGGTTTTTATGAGGAGAGTTCCCTTCCCTTCCACGCAGCTCTAGTGGGACTACTTTTTGGAATTAGAGGTGAGCGAGATGAGACGGAGGATGTCCACCAGGGCTTCTCTCAGGTGCTGCCCAAAGCGATGTGAGTCCTGCAATTTACAAAGAGAGGGAGAAGGGCGACCGTGAGAGCGTGGCCGAGGCTACGCTAACAAATCCAAACACCTGGTGGTCAGTCAAAGAATGCTTCTCTTGGGCCAACTGCCTCCTCTCTGCCCACTGGCTTAATCGTTACCTTGCACAGAGGGTGGAGGAGCTGGCATTTCCTGTCAGGCCCTGTACAACAGGGAAAGGAGCAGACAGACCAGCATACGTGCACCGTGCTCCGAGGAACACACCAGCTCCACTTACAATAGAGCCCTGCAGATGGTCAACATCACGTGTATATACAGCTTAGTGTGTGCGGGTCCCTATGTGCTCACGTGTGCACGTATCTCAGTGTGTATAGGTCCTTACATGGTCATGGGTGTATATGTCTTAGTGGTCGTGGATCCCTATGTGGTCACAGGTATATTATCTTAGTGTGCACGGGTCCCTGCATGCTCACGTGTGCATGTATCTCAGTGTGTATGGGTTCCTACATGGTCACGTGTATATATGTTAGTGGTTGTGGATCCCTGTGTAGTCACGGGTACATTACCTTAGTGTGCACGGGTCCCTGCATGCTCATGTGTGCATGTGTCCCTACATGGTCACATGTGTATATATCTTATTGGCTGTGGATCCCTGTGTGGTCACGGGTTATGTTATATATTATCTCTTAGTGTGCATAGGTCCCTGCGTGGTCACATGTTCATATATCTTAGTGCGTATGGGTCCCTACGGGGTCATGTGCATATACATCTTAGTGGTCATGGATACCTGTGTGGTCACGGGTATATTAGTGTGCACAGGTCCCTGCGTGGTCACACTGGCATATCTCTCAGTGCGTGTGGATCCCTGTGAGGTTGCGTTTGTCCCCACACAGTCACCTGTGTACATAGCGTGGTGAGCGTGGGGCCCCATGCAGTCCCTTGTGCATGTATCTTTGCGTGCATAGATCCTTGCGCAGTCACGTGCATGTATCTCTTAGCATGCATGGGTCCCTTTGCAATCACATGTATACATATCTGAGTGTTCACAGGTGTCTGTGTGGTCATGTGTATGTATCTTAGCAGGCACAGATCCCTGTATGTAAGTATCTTAGCATTCATGGATCCCTGCATGGTCATGTGTGGATATATCTTTGCATTCACAGATCCCTGAGCGGTCACGTGTATGTGTATCTTAGCGTGCATAGATCCCTGTGAAGTCACATGTCTCTATGTCTCAATATGCCTAGGTCCCTGTGTCTACTCGTCAAGAATTACAGAAAGTCTGATAGAGACACACTCTGATGCCAGTGAAGATTTAAACCCACTGTTGTCAGCAAAGATAAAACATTTTAAATCATGGGAGACGTAAGTGCATATATTTGAAAGTTTTGGGACCAAGAAACAGTAGCTGAGGCCTTAACTTTTACGTCAAATTAAGGGTGTGCTCCCCTAGAAATAAGCCAAAGACCCTTCTCTTCAGCCAAGGGAATTCCCTGTACTCACAGTCTCAGGGCAGGAGAACTTGGAAGATATGTGGAAATTGATGAGTTTGTCTCCCACGATAATGTAGGACACACCATAGCCATCGTCAGCCACCTGTGGGATAAGAGCTTTCAGCCTGCTGCCGGAAGTGCGGCAGTATGAAAGGGCGGCTTTCTAACCCCGTACATCCTGTGTCTGTCAGCCTGCTCAGGTGCCTGGAGTGTGGCTGTGATGCTGGAGGCTGTCACCAGCAGGGTCCCCCATGGAGGACACCTTCCAGCAGAGCTGCCAGACCCAGGCAGACCGGGAAGAGCCAGGTGACTGACTTCTGAAAATCAGCCGACGTGAACCTGCAGAGCCTGACAGACACCGTCTGATAGGGCGCTGGGAGACGAGGCCCTGGGACGGACCCTCAGAGTCCAGTGGCCACAGCCATAGAGTCAGACAGGCAGCCATGAGTCACAGCCCACTCCATGGCAGCGGGGCCAACACCTCCACACAGGGCTGCTGCTGCTGCTGGCATCAGTGGGCCACCAACAAGGTGGCAAGGAGTGCTCGGAACAGAGGCGGGCCTGGGTCTGGCAGCTCTACGTATGTGGACGCCCCGTTACTTACCGGGCCAAAGCCCCCTCCACTGGACACGTATTCAGGATTCCTTTCCAGATGAAACAGCTCCACCTGCTGATGAGGGGTCTGGCTGGTGGACAGCCTCCAAGGCTCAGATAAGACCTGTCGAGTGAAACAAGAAACGTCCCTGATCCACGCTCTGTGGATCTCTCCACTCTCCCTGGTGGGGAGATGGAGGCTGTGCTCGGTCCTCTGTTTAGACACAAAAGGTCCACGTCCCCAGATTCCAGTGGCTTGGGCTGGTGCATCTGCAGAGAGGCACAGAGGAAGGGATGCCATCTGGGCAGGATGTGGCCGATGCCAGCCAATGGCGTCTGAGGCAGAAAAGGTGTAAGGTCCAGACGGGGCAGTGGTGTGCCGGAGCCAACGCACACCAGCTCCGTGAGCCAACGGTACCTGTTCAGGAAATTTCAAGCTGGCTGCTCGACTCGGCCATTTTAAAAAATTAAACTTTATAAAAGTTACAAATAATGAACCCACTCCTGTGGCTTCTAGCCAAATAAAAGACAGGCCTATGAGCTAAACATTTACATTAGGTAGATACACTCCTTGGAGAGATCAATCATGGGAGAAAGAAGGGCTGTGTATGCACCAGGAGACAGCTCAGGGGGCAGGAGTACATAGGAGGGAAGGACACAGGGAAGCGGTAACTATGGGGAGGAAGTGGGAGGGGAGCTGTTGCACTGTGGGAAATTGCAGTCAATGTCATGACACAAAGTGTATGTGAGCTACTGTATGGAAAGTGAATTTGCTCTGTAAACTTTCACTCAAATCACAATAAAAATAGTAATAATAAAAAGTTACAGTTAAATTAGATAAGAAACAGTGATGCTAAAGCCAGGGCTTGTCCTGGTTATGTCAGGATGTTTCACCACTGTTACACTCTTGGGGTCACTTATGTTGACCACGTAGCAGAGGGGGGTGGCGTGGCTCAGTGGCAGAATTCTTGCTTCCCACGCAGGAGACTGGAGTTCAATTCCCGGCTGACACACCTCGGGCACAGCCATCATCTGTCGGTGGAAGCCTGTGTGTTGCTGTGACCAGGTTTCAGCAGAGCATCCACACTAAGATGGACCAGGAAGAAAGGGCTAGTGACTGACGTCCACGAATCAGTCCAGGAAACACTCCGGAGCCCAGCTCTACTGGGACAGCATGGCTTCAGCAGGAGCCGGACCAACTCATTGCCAACTGGCAGGAGCTTGGCTGGGCTGTGCTGTCTGGGTGCTGTCGGGTGAGGGCCCCTGGCTCCTCACAACCGTGTGTGCAGAGCAGAGCCACCCCGGAGGGTTTGGTTGGCTGTATTTTTACAGAAGCAGATCACCAAGCCTATCTTCCGTGGAGCCACGGGTGTGTTCGAACCACCAACCTTTTGGTTAGCAGTCAAATGCCTAACCGTTGTGCCCTCAGGGCTTTTAGCAAGAACTTAGCCAGCAAAACTGACTGGCCCGTCCCAGAGCAGGGGACTTACCTCCTTAAGGAAAGGCGAGTCGACGGCCAGGTACTTGGACACCACATACAGGCAGAAGAGGTGGCGGTCGATGCCGGCGCCCGTCATGGCGAGGCGGTATAGCAGCTGGTGCTTCTCAGAGGCTAACTTGAACAATTTGCGCTTCTGCTCAACCTACGTCACAGGGTAGGGGGGTGAGACGTGCCGGGCGTTTCAGGCCACGAGGGCCAGCTCTGAGCCTCACGGGGAACAGTCACGGGCCCCTTCCTCTGCCCAGGCACTTACCCAGGAGCCTTGTGGACCGCCCACCCCTCCTGCAGACTTGGACTGTGACTGGGGCTGAGGCCACGGATGGGTGGGTTGCTGATACGCTGCCCGTCATGCGCTCTGTACGCCCCACGCTGCATCATCTCACCGCTCACACATGACCACACTCAGAAGACCAGGAGCTCACATGGCCACGGTTTCAACCAGGTGATGCCCAGTTGGCGATGACCCACGGCACCCCCATGTGCATCAAAGAACCGTGCACCCCAGGGTTTCAGGTGCATTTTTTTAAGTAATGTTTTACCATCTTTTCAGGGCAAGTTTATGCAGCAAGTTAGGTGCCAGGTAACACCACCACCCACTGTTTGGAGACATTGGTTACGTCCTTCACAACCGCAGTTGTTAATGTTGTGTGTCAATGTGGCTGGGCCTGGCTGAGTGCCTGGGCAGCTGGTGGTAGTCATTCCCCATGATGAGACTGGCAATCAACTCGGTGGCGGGATCTACCACAAACAGCTGAGTAGCTGCTTTAGGGATGTGGTCTGCTTCCCCAGCAGCTTTGGGGACGGTCTCCAGCTTATGGCACGCTTGGACCCTGCATGTAGCCGGGTTGTTGAGCAGCCTGCCATGTCGTCTGCCAATCTTGGGACTTTCAACAGAGTTGAATTAATGGCCTACAGCACGGTTTGGTAACATCAGGACTGTGCCATTTTACTTGTCAACCTTGGGCTTGTCAGCCTCCATCAGCCAGTAGCTGTCTGAGTAAAGAAAAGCCTCTGGCTTCAGTGGGCCGGGAGCAAGAGGCAGAGCTGAAGCCCAAGGTCGAGGGGCTTTCACCCTGCCCCTAGAGCCTGGCACTCCAAACTCACACTTCTGGCCTCCAAAAGTGTTGAGGATAAAAAACGCCTGCTTGTTCAAGCCATCCCATTTGTGGTATATTCCTATCACAGCGGCACTAGGTAACAGAACCACCACTTTCCAGCAATGTGGTGTCCCCATGCCCTTCCCGCTTCATCCTTCCTTTAGAGGACCTGCTGGCCATGGTCTCAGATGATTCTCCACAGGGTTTTCAAGGCTGTTTTATGAGAAGCAGACAGCCAGGCCCTTCTTCTGAGGCACCTCAGGTGGCCTCAAACCTCTAGCCTTTTGGTTAGC